TATTGATAATGTTATTTGTGCTCCTGCAAATATGGATACTGTTAATTAGGAGGCGTCAATATAGGATGGTACAAGTTAGGCAACCTTCTTGATATGACCCAGTTCTACGGTCCCAAAATTTGAGTAATATTTTTACAAGTGATAGAGAATGCATTGACCAACTACGAATGGATAGGGGCTGCTTTAGAGTCTTGTGTTCTCTAGTGCGGGAATTAGGTGGGTTACGAGATATTAGGAATATGAAAGTGGAAGAAATGGTGGCTATTTTTTTGAACATTCTTGGCCACGACCAAAACGACAGAGTTATACATAAGGAATTCCAGCGGTCAATTGAGACAGTATCTCGAAGTTTTCATAAAGTTTTGACATCAGTACTAAAACTATGGGGGGTTTTGCTCAAGAAGCCTCAACTAGTTCCCGCCAACCATACAGATGAAAGGTGGAAATGGTTTAAGGTACGAAATAATTATTGGATACTAGATAGTTTAAGGTACGAAGGAAGGAGAGAATGACATTTATAGGATGGCTAGGGTTCGTGAGAGAAAGACAAGGGATTTCAACCAAGTTAAGTGCATTAAGGATGAAAGGGAGCATCTCTTGGTGAAGGAGGATGAGATCTGACATCGATGGCAAGAGTATTTTGACAAATTGTTCAATGGTGAGAATATAGACACAACCTTTCAGTTGGATGACTCTTTTGGTGACATCAATAGGCGCTTTGTGCGGAGAATCCAAGAATCTGAGGTCAGAGAGGCGTTGAAAATGATGAAAGGAGGTAAGGCGATGGGACTGGATGGTATCCCAATCGAGGTGTGGAGATGCCTCGGGGACATAGCTATAGTATGGCTAACCAAGCTGTTCAACCATATTTTTCGATCGAACAAGATGCCTGACGAGTGGAGGAGAAGTATATTGGTACTGATCTACAAGAATAAAGGAGATATTCAAAGTTATACTAATTACCGAGGAATTAAGTTGATGAGCCATACTATGAAGCTATGGGAGAGAGTTATCGAGCATCGCTTGAGAGCAATAACGTGGGTCTCTATGAACCAATTTGGTTTCATACCTGAAAGGTCAACCATGGAAGCTATTTTCTTAATAAGACAAGTTATGGAGCGGTATAGGAAGAAGAATGACCTACACATGGTTTTTATTGACTTGGAGAAGGCTTATGATAAAATATCAAGGAATGTTATGTGGTGGGCTTTAGACAAACATAAAGTTCCAACGAAGTATGTCGGGCTCATTAAGGACATGTACAACAATGTTGTGACTAGAGTTCAAACAAGTGAAGGAGACATGGATGACTTCTCGATTAGAATAGGACTATATCAATGGTCAGCTTTGAGCCCTTATTTATTTGCCTTAGTGATGGATGAGGTCACAAGGGACATTAAAGGGGACATCCCTTGGTGTATACTTTTCGCGGACGATGTAGTGCTAGTTGATGAAAGCCGGACAAGAGTGAATCAGAAACTGAAGTTATGGTGGGAGACTTTGAAGTCCAAAGGTTTTAGACTCACTAGAACTAAAACTGAGTATATGAGATATTACTTCGGCACTACTACTCGGGAGGAGGAAGATATTAGTTTGGAAGGTCAAGTAGTGCCTAGGAAGGATACCTTTAGATATTTAGGATCAATGCTACAGAGAGACGGGGATATTGATGAAGATGTTAGCCATAGAATCAAAGCAGGGTGGATGAAGTAGCGGCAAGCATCTGGTGTCCTATGTGACAAAAGGGTACCACAAAAACTAAAAGGCAAATTTTATAGGACGACGATTAGACCTGCTATGTTGTATGGTGCAGAGTGTTCGCCTACGAAAAGACGACACGCTCAACAGATAAGTGTCGCGGAAATGCGTATGTTGCGTTGGATTTACGGTCATACAAGAAGGGATCAAGTTCGGAACGATAATATACGTGATAGATTAGGGGTAGCACCAATTGAAGAAAAGCTTGTCCAACACCGGTTGAGATGGTTTGGACATGTTCAACGGAGACCTCCAGAGGCACCGGTGCGTAGTGGAATCCTAAGCCAGAATAGTAACGTGAAGAGAGGCAGAGGAAGACCGAAGTTGACTTGGGTAGAGACAATAAAAGGAGACTTGAAAGGATGGAATATACCCAAAGACTTAGCCTTAGATAGATGTGCTTAGAAAACAACTATTCACGTGTCTGAACCTTGATTGCTTCTGGTGGGTTTCAACTCTAGTATACCCCAACCTGTTTGGGACTTAAAGGCTTTTTGTTGTTGTTGTTGGATAGTTTAAGAAATAGAGAACAAGTCATCATATAACAAATTAAACTTTGTCATGCAGAATTGTGTAGGTGCTCTAGATGGGACATACATAGAAGTTCATGTGCTGGCCAATGATAAACCACAATACCGCTCAAGAAAAAATAATGTTGCAACAAATGTTCTTGGTGTATGTGCACCAGACATGCAATTTATCTACGTACTGCTGGGTTGGGAAGGATCAATGGCTGATGGAAGGGTCCTTCTAGGCCAAATGGCCTTGTTCCTCGTGGTAAGATTTAAGACTGAATAAATAGATAATCTTGCCGCTCGTTTATGGTTTTACATGATAACTAAAATATACAAATACTTTTAATATATAGGTTGCTATTATCTTGTTGATGCTGGATACAATAATTGTGAAGGATTTCTTGCTCCATATAGAGGTCAACGGTACCACCTGCAAGACTGGAAAAATCCACCAGTGAAAAAGGAGGAACTGTTTAATATGAAGCATTCATCAGCAAGAAATGTGATTGAGAGAACTTTTGGATTGCTGAAGATACGTTGGGCTATAATTAGGAATCCATCTTATTATCCTATAGATACACAGGTTGACATAATTTTAACATGTTGCTATCTGCATAACCTCATAAGACAACAAATGGGCTCCTCTGATCCATTGGAACAAGAACTGGATAGTTTCATGGAGGAACAAGAAGTAAACGGGGACACAATTCAGGCCACCGAAACATCATCACAATGGAATAATTGGAGAGACCAGCTAGCTGATGAAATGTGGAATGCTTGGAGAGCAAGAAGGCAATCTAGATAAAAGCTGCAAATTCATAGATAGTCATATATGTCTTTAGTGCTACATTTCTGTTTCTTTGTCTGTCGTGGAAGTTTTGCTTGTCCGTGTAATATCTTTTGCTAGATCGTTGTGACTGGATGAACAAGATATTTTATAAGATTTAATATCATTCGCATTTGTGAAAGCATACATTTCTCACTGTAATTTGAACCAATCAGCAGAGTAACAAGGCAAAAGGGGCTAAATTTATAGCCAAGAAGAGAGACAAGAGAACATGGATAGCTAAGGAGGAGAAATTACTAATTGATATTCTATATGACATGAATGATTCTGCTTGGAAAGTAGACACTGTCCACAAGTCTGGCTATCTCACTTTCATTGAGAAGGAAATGTCAAAGGTGCTACCAAAAGCAGAGCTCAAAGCTGATCCCTATATCAAGTCTAAAGTGAAGATTCTAAAGAAGCAGCTTTCATATATTTTGGAAATTCAACAAAATGGAAGCGGATTTGGATGGGATGATGAGAGCAAGATGGTAATCGGGAACAGAGAAACATACATGGGTTGGGCAAAGGTACAGTAGTGTTGAAAGTTTTAAATTGGCAAATAAACATTCCATCAGTTAAGATTTAATTTTGCCCTGAACATGCATTTTTTGCAGTCTCGAGATGGAGCAGTTGCTTTATACATGAAACCTATGGTGAACTTTGAGAAGCTCTGTGATGTTTATGCAAGTGATTTGGCCAAAGGAGCGAATGCAAAAGGTCCTGGAGAGCAAGAAGAGGCAGAAGGCGTCACCACTGCAGATGAAGTACAGCCAACTTGTGAACCTGTTGATGGGGGTGATGCTAAAACAAAAGATGATAACAAGACATCAGCCGTTAAACAAGGGCGTAAGAGGGTGTATCCAGATTCTGATGGTCTAGAGATAGGCCTTATTGGCATGTCTAATTCATTTGCACACTTCTTGGAATCTGAAAAGGAGAATGCATACACCATGGCTGGCATTGGAAAGGCACATTCCCATGGAATTGAAGTGTAGCAGCGAGCGTCGTCCAATAAATCTCAGTTGTTTGAAGTGATTAAGAATCTACCTGGGTTTGACATCGAACATGTTGTCATGGTTGTCCGTATCATTGGTCGGGATCCTGAGAACACAGAGCTTTTTCTAAAGATGGAGGATCCTTACAAAATTGTCTTTGTCAAACAGGAGTTTGAGGCAGCAAACAAGAATTCAAAGGATGCATAAATATGTCAATTCAATAATACTTAGAATGTGTTGGAACCTTTTAAATTCGTCAACTGAATGTGTTTTGTCACTTTATTTTCTGTAAATCACATTTCCAGCAGAATTATCTATTTATATAGTTTATTTTTGCAATTTTACTACGGTCACTTTGGCTAATTTCAGTTTAAGAAGCCTCTGTCAACTTGCGCTACAAAAAAGCGCTGCTTATTTCAGCTCGTTTGATTTAGGTTACGACAGCTAAGGGTGCAGATGTACAAACATTCTTTTATTATTTTTTTTTGAGAAAAAGCCGCATCAAGATAACAATTTGTTTAAGGAATACATCGTCGTCACGATCCACGCAATGACTCTCAACTCCCTTTACAAGCCACCACTCCCAGCAGGCCGCCACCAACCGATTTATCGGCCCACACATCAGCAGACGAGTACACGCCGCACCACGTCAGGAAGATAAAGATCCCACGAAGAGAATCAGGATGCATCCCTATCGGAATCTGGACCTTTGCCACGTCATTGCCACTACGGCGGTCGGCGGCAGCGGTGCGGCCGCCACCCACTACCACTAATCCTCCCCTTCCCTCGCGTGCTTAATCCCCTTTTCCATTGCCCTATCTCTCTTCCTCATCCTCATCTTAATCACCATTCACCAGACGACCAGCCCTAGCGAATTCATATTCCATTCCTGGTTCTCCGTCCATGGCCGCGTCGCTGGTTCGCCGTGGCGCTGTTGCAAGCCGCCGGCGATGCCCGGTGGAGATGCTGCGGCGGCTGGTCTCGTCCGAGGTGGCGCCCGAGCGGGCACCGTCGCGGCCGCCGCCGGAGATGCCGCCGTTTGACCACCGGCCCCGCCCGTACGGCGCGATGGGTGGCGCCGAGATCTTCGAGAAGAGGAAGGCGGTGCTCGGCCCGTCTCTCTTCCACTACTACCAGAAGCCGGTATACCCTCCGAGTGTTGATCTTAATTAAATTAAATCCGTCTAACTGTCTGCTCGTCTTTGTTAAACTGTCTTCGAGCGGTGAAATTAGATTAATGTTCCAAAAAGGTGGGGGTTCAGTGAACCTGGGTGTTGACCTTCATCATAAAGCAGGGTCATCTTTGTTGCGACACCAATTTACTAGGAGAATAAATTTTTAATGTATTTTGCATATGGTGGTTTACCTTCACTGTCTAAGTTTCGGGTGAAACTGGTCATGTTAAAGAATTCTTGTAGCACAACCACCACCGTGTAGTCATCTTACTCTAAAACGTTGAAGCAGTGACAGAATGACGTTGACACGATGTCTAAAGAATTTACTATTCAATTGTGTTCACAGCTCAACATTGTGGAGGGGAAGATGCAGTACCTGTATGACGAGAGTGGGAAGAGATACCTCGATTGCTTTGGGGGCATCGTGACAGTGTCGTGTGGCCATTGCCATCCGGATATTGTGAATGCTGTGGTGGAGCAGACCAAGTTGCTCCAGCACACAACCACCATTTACTTGCATCATGCCATTGTAGAGTTTGCAGAGGCCCTCACCTCCAAAATGCCTGGCAATCTCAAGGTAAATGTACTGTCTGTCTGGGTGCTGCCATAACACGCACCTTTTCATTTATGTATGCAGGTAAGAGCTGAAGACCTCGTCATGTTTTTGGGTGCTGCAGGTTGCGTATTTCGTGAATTCTGGGACTGAAGCCAATGAATTGGCAATGTTGATGGCCCGGCTGTATAGTGGGAATCTCAGTATGGTTGCACTCAGAAATGCATATCATGGTGGAAGTGCTGGTACGATTGGATTGACTGGTTTGCAGACGTGGAAGTACCCAATTCCTCAGGTCTGTGTACTGTATAATCAAGTACTGAACTTTAGAGATTTTCTACTTCTAGTGTTGTTCATCATCTAGTTAGGCCTCGGTTTGACACTTTCATCGAATTATTTGTCCGGTTATGTTTTTCATTGCCACTATGTTTGCAGAATTAGATTCTTAGTTATTGGTAATTGGTAATTGATCTCTCCATTCTACTAGATCTATCATAGCCTCATCAAACTTTTGCAGGGTGAAATACATCATGTCATGAACCCTGATCCTTATAGGGGGACTTTTGGGTCTGATGCTGCAGCTTATGCCAATGAAGTCGAAGAACACATAACTTATGGAAGTTCAGGAAGGGTTGCAGGCTTCATTGCAGAAACATTCCAGGTATAAACTTTGAACAGCCATTTATAAAATGCTACAACAAATTGAAATACTGGGTATGTTTTGTTTATAAACCCACTTCAAAAAAATCTTATCCTTGTTGCAATCTTATTGATACACTATCTTGGTTGTAGGGTGTCGGAGGTGCTGTTGAACTAGCTCCTGGATACCTAAAGTTAGCTTATGACATTGTGCGCAAGGCTGGTGGTGTTTGTATTGCTGATGAAGTCCAGAGTGGTTTTGGTCGTACTGGCAGTCATTATTGGGGATTCCAGACACAAGGTGTTATTCCTGACATAGTCACCATGGCAAAGGTCTATCTTGTACTCTAAAATGCAAGCATGTACTAAGCATTAATCAACCCTGGGGAAAATGTCTTGTTTTTTATTTTTTTGGTGGCAACATCTTTCCATGCTGATGTAACAGTTTTTTTTTCCATGTTTCAGGGAATTGGCAATGGCCTACCACTGGGGGCAGTTGTAACAACTCCTGAGATTGCAAGTGTGTTAGCTCAAAAAATTCAATTTAACACATTTGGTGGAAATCCAGTTTGTTCTGCTGGTGGATTAGCTGTGCTTAAGGTTCTTGACAAGGAGAAACGCCAGGCACATTGTGCTGATGTTGGAGCTCACTTGGTGGAGCGTCTAAAATCGCTTCAGGAGAAGCACGAAAGTAAAATTTCTAATCTTGATTCTGTTCGTATACTCTTTCTTTTGTCCAACCTTTTCGGCTAACCATTTGTTGTAAAAAAAATGAAGTTTTCTAACTCAGCTACTCTTGGCTTCGCTCTTGCCAGTCATAGGTGATGTTAGAGGAAGGGGACTGATGCTTGGGGTGGAACTCGTTACAGACAGAAAAGAGAAGACCCCTGCCAAGGCAGAAACCACTGAACTGTTTGAGAAGCTGAAAGGTGCCGTCTCTCATTCTCCCCCTCCATGGCCATGATTATTTATTGATCTCTACATGCCTTGATATTTATGTTTTTTTGCTTCATAATCTTTGTTAACAGATCTCGGGGTACTAGTTGGAAAGGGCGGTCTGCATGGTAACGTCTTCAGAATAAAACCACCAATGTGCTTTTCGAAGGACGATGCAGGTTCGAACAGTTCTCAAGTCCAAAAAAAGTTTCAGTTACCGCATTGCGCAGACAAACTAACAAAAATGCTGTTATCACAGACTTCTTGGTGGACTGCATGGACTACGCAATGTCAGGGCTCTGAAGTCTGAAGGAATGCTCTGAATTGAGAATGCGTCGGCGTGGAACCAACACTTCCAGGAACCGCAGGATGCTTGCCCTGAAGTGAAGCTGAAAGGCAGATGATTTGATGGGCATGCTCACCGGTTGATGTGTTGGTGGTGTCATGATGAAATGGTAACCCCCCACAGGAATAAATGGATGAAAGGGGAGAAACGTCAGAAAATCAAAATGTCTTGTCCAGCTTGTGAGCTCTTTGTAAATATAATAGCGAGCAAGCAAGCATGATATCGATCTGTATATCTGCATTTACCACCAGCATAGAACACGGCCCTATTTCACCGCTAGCATAGTTTTACGGCAGGCTTATTTCAGGGTTCTCTCTCGGTAATACACTAATACTGAAGGGCCCAGAAGCCCGCGTGGAGGCATCTTGCGCCGCTGCTGCCGGCCCCCGCCTTCACCACCGCTGGTCCCTCTCCCCCCCTCCCCCCTTCCGGCATATCGCTGGAGGTCGGAGGGAGTGGAGATCCATCGTTTTTAATAAGTTTTTACAGTAGATCGAGTCTTTGGGTTAGGGTCTCTTCATACCAAATTTCTTGGTTTGGGGGATTTATCTCCTCTCTGACGACGACGAGGGGTATGGTGGAATCGTTTTCTCTATGGCGGCTCCGTTGAAGATATGGACGATCAACTACGGCGTCAACATCCTCACCGGTATGATATGGAGACTTTTATTTTCGGACCGCGCCGCCAAGCGCCAAGTTGTCGCCACGCCCTTCGGTCTCTTTTCCGTTTTATTGTGATTGGATCAGGCTACGATGAAGGATTAGGGAGAATAAGTTTCAGATCAGTCTTTCTCATTCTTCGGTGGCAGAAAGAAGAAGGAACACACCAGAAAGAAGTTTCTCAACTTCGCCTACATAAATGTTGGTCGTCGTTCGTTGGGCATCTTGTCGGATATCATAAAAATGGGTACCCTAAGCAAGAACCGAAAAATTGCTTAGACCTTGTAAATAACGAACCAAAAATACAACCGCAGCAAACCCGCCGAGTCCTTCGAACAAATATCCGGATCGGGTCTCTTTATACAAAATATTTTTGGGTTTGGGAGATTTATTCTTCTCTCGTCAACGAGGCGTATGGGCCTTGATGATCACCCGATTCTCCATGGCGCCTCGGCATCAACTCCGTCACCACCGCATTGAGACAAGACGTCACACCCAACTAACACGTTCAACCACTCCACGTCGGTAACCAACATCCTCACGAGACGGAAGTCATATCGACGCTATTCGAGAGGATTTTTTCGGATCGCGACATCAAGGCGCCTTAGATGGAAAGTCACGTCCCGGTCCATGGAAACAATTTTCTCCCTCCGAGCCTCGGCTCCCACTTGTGGGCTCCTTAGTTGGACTGGAGACCCCCACGACGGTCCGGCCTGATCGAATCCATCTCTCTACGTTGAAGGATTATGAACGAACCCGCAGTTTGCGCCATGCCCTGCTGCGTCGAGGCTTTCCCACGTCCCATTCTTAGCTCCTGTAGCCTCGAAAAAAATCGAAGAACTCCGCAAACATCTGATGAGAAAGAAGAAGTTTCTCAACTCCCCGTCGCACAGATCGAATGTTGGTCGTCGCTCCAGCTGCGAGAGAGACAAGACCGCTCCACCGCATCCGCCCGCGGTGACAAGCTCAAGTCTTTTGCCGCCAAGAACGCCACGTTTAGCAAATATATGTACCGCCCTTTGCCTCCCCTCGACTATAAAAGGGAGTGACCGGCCGCTTCTATCCATAAGCCACGCAAAGTTTTTCCTTCACTGCGAGAGATCAACATCTCAAGCAACCCACACTGCTATTCAGAGACATGGGGCTAGCTCCTCTCTCGCCTAGAAGCCTACTACAAAATCGGTTACAAGATCGCTCCCTCAAACTGGACGTAGGGCACCTATTGCACGAACTAACCTTGATTACTATCCGAGATTAGGAACACGTTTCACTAATCGGTTGAGGACCCCCGGTCCAAAACACACCGACACATCTGTTCTCGTAGCTATTCATCCATCTTTGTATATTTCGTATTGTTTGGTTTCGAGATCTGGAGCTATTGACAGCGTGAGTATAATTTAGATGAAAATTATTCTTTCGTTGAAAAAAAAAGCCCGTGTGGAGGAGCTTTTCCGGCCTCTCTTGTCTCCCTCACCCGTGGCGGAGGCAGAAATATTTTCTAGGTGTGGCGGATTTATAAAGATTAAATATGTGTAATGTAACTATCAACTATGCATACCTAATGGAATCTCAATGCCCACGTCATCATGGTCTTGGAGCTCTTCTTGTTGTCCAGCAACGCCATCTGTAGGTAGAGCTAGGTTGAAGCTGCTATTGCTAAATGCTTTGGCAAAAATACTCTTCAAATATGTAAAAAAATCACAAGAAAAAAAAGGCAAACAATAAATTAATAATTGAACTTATTGATTATTAAACCTACAAGCTACATCCGTGTGTAATGGCCTGAAATTAAAAATACCTTTCATCACATGTATGATCTTCTTCTTTGGTGCCATCGTTGCACAATGGCGCCACAGGCCACAGCCGCTGTCCACCTGGCCGGTGAAGTCGTCATGCCGCCATCCGTCGGCCGGCCATCGCTCGAAGTCGTCAGCGCTGCCGTCCGCCGGCCACCGCGTCCGCGTCGAGTTTTCGCGCCGCTGCGGCGCTGCCTTTGCACACTCTACACCCTAACACCCTGATCGGATTCGAATATGAAGAGACAGAGGACGAGCAGACGAGCAGTCGGTCTCTATTCCATCAGGACGCCATTAGCTTCCTCCGTTCTAGACTTCTAGTACTTGAGGCCCGTCAAGGGGAGCCCATCAGGCCACAAGCGCATGCACCAGGCTAGCTTGTATTGGCATATGTATTTTATATATATTTACTGGTATATATAGCACATGTATTTATTATTTTTTACAAGTTTTAGGTTACGGCGGAGGCCAAGCCTCGCCAAATACCTGCCTCTGCCCCTGTCCCTCATCCCACCCGTGCCGCCCTGGTTCATCCGTCCCACCGGCTCCGGCGCTGGTCCGTCCCACTCCCACCCTCGCCGTCCTCCCCGCCGGCACCGGCGCTGGTTTGCCCCACCCACGGCGGTGCCTCCGTCGGTGAGCAGCATCTGCCGGGCCGAGTGCTCCTCTCTCTCCATAGATCGTCTTCTCCGCCTCCAAGCTCCCAAGCCACTAACCCGTGAGGTCCGACCCATCTTCATCGTCGAGGGCAATCCGGCCGTAGAAGCTGATGTGCCAAAACGTTAACCTTCTCCGGGCTCGAGCATCTGGCCCATTTAAGGATGCAGCCCAAACATCGTCAGGCCCATTAACCTCTATTACAACACGATGAGAACCCTTGTTCTCCTACCTCCCAAAGTCTCCCACCCAGGACCCAGCGCGCCCGCCGCCGCCCGCCCCTGCCTGCGGCGAGATCCGGCGCCGCCGGCGAGCTCCAGCACCGGCACGAGCTCGCTCCAACAGGAGGTAGCTTCCGGTGACGCACGCCGCCCTCTCCGCAACGTCCCGGAGAGTGCGGAGCCCCGTTTGCTGTCACCCGCACGCGAGCGACGAGCTCCACCACCTGCCCAGGTTTCTTTCCTGTTCCCTCACTCGTAGTCTCTTCCTCTCCCCTCTTCCCTCTCGTGGTCAATTCGTCTAGGAGCCAGCAGAGACAGGGCAGGTGACTGTAACCTTAGTCGTTGGAGTGTTTGGCTTACTGGAAATCTGAAAAACAAGAGCAGGGCAGCTCAATTGCAAGAATGTAGGATAATTTGTAATGTTCCTTCTATGCTGCTACTGCTTTTAGAATTTTAATGTGGCTTATTGGCTATTATTATGTATTATTGAAAAAAAATCCTAAAACGTAGGTGTATCTGTTTTTCTGAGAAAATGTCAGCATCCCCGTGTCCGTATGTCTGTATTTGCACTACATGGCTTGGCGAATGTTCTCATCTCACCATGAACCATGTTTTTTTTGTGGAGCAGGGTTAATTGTGTATGGAGCACTGAAGTACATGGCACCACGGCAGGGACCCCTCACCCACCCTTGCTGATTCTGGGTTGTGGCCTCACTACCACCCATGGCAGCTAGCACTGTGTTCCCCGTGCTGCGCTCCTCCGAGTACTTCACAAGGCCGTCAATTGATGAGCTTGTAGAGAGGGAGGTGGCTGATCCTGGCTACTGCAGCAGGGTTCCAAACTTCATCATAGGGAGGGCTGGATATGGGCAGGTTAGATTCTTGGGCGACACCGATGTGAGGGGCATTGACCTGAATGAAATTGTCAGGTTCGAAAAACACTATGTGGTGGTTTATGAAGATGAGACTTGTAAGCCACCTGTAGGGCATGGTCTTAACAAAGCAGCAGAAGTGTCCCTGCTGCTGAGTCTGAAGGATCTTCCGGAGCCCAGTATCCTTGTTGAGGTGCTAAGGTGTCGTGCAAGAAAGCAAGGTTCTAGGTTTCTTTCATTCAATCCAGTGAATGGAAAATGGAAATTTGAGGTTGATCATTTTAGTAGATTTGGGCTTGTGGATGAGGAGGAAGAGGATGCTGTGATGGACGACGCAGCTATTCGGCAGCCAATTACTGAAGTAAGAGAAAGATACCCACCTTCAAATGGTCATGAAATTGAGCTTTCCCATTCATTGCCTGCTCATCTCGGGCTTGACCCTGCAAAGATGCAAGAAATGAGGATGGTGATGTTTTCCAATGAGGAAGAAGATGAATATATGGAGGATGGGCTCCCTTCTGACGAGAGGTATGTTAGCAGAGAAAGGATGAATGTGGATTCACCTACCTCAAGCGGTAAAGGTTTGAGGTTAAGGTCTCTCTCTCCCTTGCACGTGTCTTCTCAGAAGGCTGGCAGGAGATCTGGTATGCCGGTTCGGAAAGAACCTCAGGCACTTTTGGACTACAGTATGAATTCTTCAGAGCTTGGTCCATCAACTCAGGGTATTCTTATGTCTGGGCAAAACAGAGGA